CACACACACACACACACACACACACACAGAGTACCCCTCCTCCGCCGACTTCTCCTAACCCTCCCCCTTCCCCATCCCCCATCTCTCCCTCTCTCTCTCTCTCTCTCTGCTATGCCGCCGATGCCTTTGTATTGTGCACATAAAATAAGAAAATAATACTCGGACCATCCAATAAGGTCTGAAGCTGCTGGCAACAGCGTCAGTCTGACTGCAGTTTCAGGCTAAGGTCTAAGCAGCTTTGTTTTTCTCACAAATTGAGTACTCAAGGTCTGCGGCCAGAGCCTACATCGTTAGTCAAAAACCTGCCGCGACAAGCCAAGGTCTGACAGGATCGTTTTTTTATTTCTTTTTCTTTTCCCCAAACATCCAGTTCTCAGATCTCAGCCCAGGCATGGAATATATAGCAGCCTCGTGCTAAGCCCGACCAGCCTTGTTCTCATCAGATGCCAAGTGTCCAGACTTCTGTTAAACCAACAGTACCTCCGAGCCTCATTTTCACGATGCAGGATTTTGCCTGCCCCTGATGACGGTCAAACCACTGTGGGGGCCGGGCCTGGCAGTGGCAACCACATCTTGCCACATACATATCAACTAAAAGAGCGCACTTCGTGAAACAAACGATAAAAATACATAACACTCACAGTGTTTGTCACATTTGCACCAGAATCGCTGCCAGAAGCAAAACTTCTTTTTTTCGACATTTTCTCTTGTACAGCAGGCAGCATGTACCCTACATGTTTGAATTTGGAAGGTTTGTTGAAGAAGGGCCAAACGTGGGTAGCTGGGCGGGGTACCGATGCTTTAATACCTGGAACTGTGGACCTCAGTTTTGAGCCAAAGTCGACAGCCGCGAGATAAGACTCAGAAGTGAGTCTGACTTCGCAGTCTTGGGTTTCTGGCTACGAATTTGGACCGAGTTTGAGACTCAAATCCACAGTGAGATTATCAGAAAACAAGGATACATAGGAGTTCAATTTTGCAGTCGGAATTTCCTATCTTAGGACTACCAAAAACTCTCAAGTCTTGAGTCTATGGAAATCAAGAACACAGTTCAGATGCAAGTTCACTTCAACGAGCTATGGCGCATCGGCGCCTGAACATCCCAACCTTCGTCAGTGTGTCCAACCCCACTGTTCACACACGCTCACTCTGGATCAACCCGAATACCACCACACACACACACACACACTTAATCTCACTTCCTCCTACAGCGGCTATGGTCGCGCTAGCACTACTGACTATGGCTACGATCTCCCTTCAGCCCACTTCATCTTCGGGCAACCTGCAGACCACCTTGGCACAAGACGCTGTAGCAGCGCTTCCGCATGGCTTACACAGTGAATGAATGAATGGCTGGGCGCTGCCTCTTGATTTATACTTCTATAACTCGTTGGTCTGCCCCTTTCCCAGGCCCTTGGTGTACACAGTCCCACACGGTACTTGCTTGACTGGACTCTGACTGACTGGGACTGGTACCGCTGACTACATGGGTCTGCAATGCCAACTCAATGCAATCGCACTGCCGACATAATGCAGTTGGGCTCACCACTTGCCCACTTGCCTCTGACTAAACGTGAGACACTTCGAAAGGCCACTTTCGGACCTTCCGGAAGTCTGTGGACTTGGCCTTTCGGGTACTTAGCAGCTACGACCTTGACCTTTCAGAGCATCTACAGCCACGACCTCTACAGAGCTGTGACTCCTAATCGACAGACCTACAGATCAAACCCCTACCGCTACACAGACCTACGACAGACGACAAACCACTGCCAAAACACAGATCACGGGCTCAAACACTCGGGGTCAACTCAATACTGTACATGGGCAAAGTGAGGTCTGGTGATCGAACTCTAGGGCCCGCATCTGTGACTGCAGAAAGGTGAAAACCGTTTCACTCCCGCCGGCCTAAATTCAAGGTCCTCCGAGAATATTTCAGTCCAAGGCAGGACCTTTACCCTTCTTATCTCTTTCGTAGGCTCGTACTATATTGGGAGCTGTCTCTAGAAGTTCTGTTCGCATGAACCAGCGGTCGTCTTCTGGCTCTTGATAGGCAAATCTGACTTTGTATTGCTTCTGGGGACGACCTCTACCTCCTGTCCTGAAGATATCCTCACCTACTATCCCTTCAATGTCATATCTTCCATCCATATCTGGAGGAATCATAGATCTGCGTGATGGGAACTGTTGACTTGTGACGCAAGGTAACAGCTTTGACGCATGGAACACTGGGTAGGTGTGGAGGTGTGCTGGGATCTCAATAGTATAGGATGGTCCATCCTCTCCGCCCATGACTTCTAGGACTGGCCACGGTCCTCTTTACACAGGCAACAACTTTTGTGAAATGTTTTCCTCAGGGGCAAACTCTTTTGACTTGACCCAGACTAAGTCACCTACTTGAAACTGTGAGGGGCGACGGTGCTTGTTAGCTTGTTCTATCATTCTGTGTTGGGCTTTCCTGAGGTTGTCAACAACGGTAGCTATCTCTTTCTCGTGCTGTATCACGAACTCTCGTGTACCGGGCGGTAGCCTCGGAATCTGATCCCAGTTAAGTCCTTCAAATGGTCTGCGCGGTCTAAAGGACTTGTGCAATTCGTTGGGAGTGCGACACGCAGATAAGTGCACGCTATTATTGTAGGCACTGGCTACCTTTGGGAGCATCTCATCCCAGTTGATCTGATCGGGCCTAACGTACATTCTAAGAACTTGCTGCAGGAGCTTGTTCATCTGTTCAGTCTGCTTAGTCTGTGCGTGCCTCTGCAAGCAAAGGAACAAAAATTGTGTACTTGCTAAATCTATCTACTATGACCATGACTTCGACTTTTGCCATGCCTACTCTTGACCTGAGTATCCATAAAGTCAATGGACAGAATCTTTGGGTCTATCAGGAATAGGCAGGGGTCTGAGAAGACCAAGAGGGGCGCGCGTAGTAGTCTTGTTTCGTTGACAGACTTTATAACTGCGGATATACTCTATGCAATCGGCCTTCATACCGGGCCACATACACGCGCGCATGAGGTTAGCTAGTGTCTTTTGCCAACCAAAGTGTCCCTCTGTATCATGGCATTCCCCTAAGATCAAACTACGGATCTCTTCACTGTTGGGAACACACAAGCGGTCAACTACATTAGTCTTCTCGAATAATAAGCCATCAGCAGTGCGGTAGTCTGGTTCAGATTTTGGGGCCTCCTTAACTCTCTTGAGGAGGTCACTATAGATAGGGTCTTGTGCATATGCCTCTGTAACTTTCTG